TTGCTTAGTTTGCGTTCCACTGACAGATTAACCAGAATTAATTAAAGTGTTATGCAATTTTAAGCTTTCTTGAAGTGGATAGTTTGACGAGTTAGTGGTAAGGATTGGGTCTGCGTCGAGATAGAGTGCGGTGCCGTCTACGAAACTTGAAACTATTTTTAGCGCTCAAGGTAGATACGACCTTTCCATTGAATAAAGGAGCATGAGTTTCTGTTCTTTTAACACACTTTGTCCATAGCCTTGACGTTTCTATCAGCTACAAAATAAGATCATAGATACCATAAGCACAAGTGCTATTCATGGATCATAGCTGCACTACCATTTGAAAGACACGATCAGAAAACCTGAAAATAGATGAACAACCTATTGAAAAGATTTTTTTCATGTCACAAAAACTGCCGTGGTCGCAACTCAATGGTCCTGGAAGCTTTGGTAAATCAGCAACCGATAGGTAGGATATTCCAGACACGAAGTTGTGTTGTAGACTCAAGCAAATTGAATCATGAAACACACAGAAACTCAAAGCAATAGCAGTGTGCCAGGAGCCCGTGGTGATCTCACCATCATGCAATTGGAAAATCAAAATGACAGCACTGATGGAACTCAGTACAGCACAGCACAACGAATACCAACAACTTCCACAGGCTTCATATGTCATGGTCCTTCACAGATGACCACTCCACTCACTACAATTGTACTGTTGGTTTTTGTGCCCTCGATTGCCATAGCTGTTCAAAACTCCGGCTTTTAGGGTTTGAAAGTAAGGCAAGCTGTGCCACCAAAATTCAGAGACGAGCCATGCCACCCCGAATTGTGGGCAAAAACCTCATATTCCCAAAATTGTCAACAGATTGGATTGAAGGTGAGATTGCCGAATTGCGCATATGGATTCCATCCGTTCCCTGTATCTACCTAAAGTTTCTTGTTTGATCAAGTGGAACCAGATCCGTTTGCAACATTGAAGTATTAAACCCATGTCTTGCTATCTAGAGTGACATCAAACCTTGCGGTAATGTGCACTCATTTTCAAGTCCACTTGAGAAGCTCAAAGCATTAAGTAGCACAAGGTAGTGTTGGTAGTTACAGATACATAGATTGAAACCATAATATTATCATTGGAATTTATTTGAATGATAAATGCAAAAGTCACCACATTCTTGAACAAGTATTGAAAGATATTTGCCACATGGAAGTGAAATTCTTATTTTAATGAACTTGAAATAATAGTTTTATAATCTTTACAAATAAAAAATATTACAATATACAAATAAAACCAAAGAAATGTATGGCATCTAAGACTATTCCATGTAAATCATAATACACTTCATTAAATTTAAGGACCATTTGAAATAATATCTTCTTTTGATTTTAAAAACCTAAATTTGTATTTTTGTTGCAAAACATAACAAGTAACATAGAAAAAACAATGTATACAAGAAAAAAAATGAAGACTATAACCTTAATTAAATCAATACATTTAAATGAGAGTGATCTTATAATAGTTTGTACTTATATAAGTTTTAAATGCTTTATGATGTATATAGATAATTATTTTAAAAATTGAAATATTTACTTAATTTTTAAAAAAATCAATAGCCTTCTAGAAAAAAATATATTAGTAATATCATATACAATAAAAAACAGAAAAAAACTAAAAACTAAAATCAATATACAAGCTAAGTATCAATTTAGAAATTTAAGACACTTTGTGCCAAGAAGGCATAAAATATGAAGTAACAAAAACATATATTTTACAAAAAAAATATAACAGCTAAAAAGTTTTAGAATTTATTAAAAAAAAATACTTGAAATTATATCATATTCAAAAATATATTGGAAAGCTATTTAAAAATATATGTATTTATAAATTAAAAATCTAGCAACTTCCAAGTAGTAAACATAAATGTTCATAAATTACAATATGTTTAAAATTTTAATATATATATATATATATATATATATATATATATATATATATATATATAAAATAATTATATTTTTAAAGAATAAAAAATAATTTAATTTCTTTAAATAATTTTTTTTAATATATTTTATTTTCTTCTTTATTGTATCAAAATTCTATTGCAAAAAGAATTTGAGATGTTTGATAAAGAAGAAATTCAATACAAATTTTGAATCTTGATAATAAAAGATAGAAAAGAAGAATAGACTATGATATATTAAAAAAAACATTAAATAAAAACATAAGTATATCATGCTTACTTGTGTTCACTTTATTATGCCAAAATAGACAAGAAAAAATATTAAATATTTTTATTATATAGATGTTAAAATAAACTAACTTAAATCAAAACAGTTAGAAGTCGTGTGTATTATTGTAAATTCTAAATCATAATGTTTTAAAAACATTTCCTAGTTTAATACTATATATATATATATATATATATATTTATTTATTTCAATTCTTTGTATCTGTAAAATAAAAATTACTTATTATATTATTTAAAATTTTATTTTAATTTTTATTTAACTTTTTGGATTTAAATATCAAGCTACAGAAGATAAAGATTTATAATGTAGATATATTTATCATTAGTAGGTTGGTTATAATAAAACCAAAAGACTCTTTTTTGAATATGTATCTTTTTTCATTAAAGAAGGTATTTTCTTGAATTAAGAAAAAACAACATACAATTGCGTATATTTTAATAAAATCTAAAAATATAATTATAACTAAAACTATAAAGATATTGGCCAAAAAGAATATTTTTTTGATATAGAATTTATACACAATAATTCTACAGAAACGAAGTTTGATAGAAAAAGTAATAAAATCTTTACAAATAGTTTTGAATATTAATATAAAAGAAAATTTGTAGATTTTGAATATTATTTTTTAAAAATTAAAATATTAAAAAATTAATATGATTGAAAACATAATAGAAAATATATTTTTAAAAGTCTTATTTAAAAAAGAACTATAAAAGAATAAATTATAAATTATTTAAATTAAAAAAATTATATCTCTACTATATTATCTATTCAAGCACAAAATTATGTTTTTGTAAGTTTATGCTTGATTTTGGTTTTATTTCTATAAAGTTTTAGTTTTCTTTGATTTTTATTACAATAGAAGTAGGACACATTTAAGCAATTTTTGTAATATGTTATTTATCTCTATTTTTGTTAAAAAAAGAAAAATAAAAATAAGAAAATAAAAATTTATGGTTTTTATTATTGGTTTTTTACTTAAAAGCAAAATAGTTTAATTTAAACTATAATATCCAAATATACTAAGTAGTAAACTTTTTCAATAAAAAATTCTAAAATTTCACAATGTAATAGTATTTTAAATATAGAATAATTCAAGAAGTCCATATTTTCTTTTTAATCATAAATTATTGCTAATTTGAACTAAATTATACCTCTATACTTATGTACAATAAGCAATAAGTAAACAACCATCTCCAACAAGTATGCAAATAAAAACAACTACAATGCACTACTAGCAAACACTATAATTTAAGAAGCCAACCTAGTTCATCAATAGATTTATACTACTAATCTATAAATAGAACAAAATTAAAATAATAAACACATAATTTGATATTGCCAAAAAAAAAAACATTTAGAAAAAACAATGTCATTGAATTAGCCATTCTCATGAATTTGCAATAGACTTCACATAATAAAGACTATAGTACTCAATTAAATTTGAGTAATTGCAAACAAATTTTGTTTTAATTTTATTCAAGAAAATGGTTTAGTAACAGAAAAAATTAGAATAATAAAAAAGTTTAGAACTAAAATCAATTAAATACACAATACTTTAACAAAATAAACTACAACATTTTGTGCCAACACAATATTTGTACTACAACCTCATTAGCAATCTAACAATAGTGCCATAAGTAACAATATCTACTTTTAAACCCTTGAGCAACAACACCAAAACACCAACAATGATTATTGAAACAACAGAAAATCACAACAAAAATACAAAGACACAACATCTACCACAATACCTTAGGATCTCAGGAATCCACAGGAATTGAGATGCTGATAAACTTCGCCCAGTGTGATGTGCGAAGACGCGAGCAGAATCTAGACATCTTGTATATAACATTCATTTAAATATTCCTAATAAAATAGGAATATTTAAATGAATGTTATATACAATATAATATTTAAAAAAAAAATTATATATAAAGGTTTAGGGTATGGGTCTTACTTTTCTCTAGTATTTGTGGAATCATTTTTTTTATTCATTTTTGCTTATTCTTGGTACTAGAATTTTATTTGGTAGTCATTCAATTTTAAGTGTAGAAGGCAACGTCAGGATCTCCGGATCAGATCCAGTGAAACAGCTGGAAGCCCTTCCTCATAATTCACATGCAGAGCGTGAATGAACCCAAATGACCGCTGGACTTTTCTGTCTTTCTCTGAAGATCTAGACATGAATCCTGAAGCCTTCTTTTGGTGCATACTACTCTGAATCTGCACTGGAAGTTGTGATGTTACCTTTCGAGACGAATTAGTTTATACGAGTCTCTAAACATCTGAACGTTTTTGTCGATGGAATAAGGAGCGTATGTCTAGACATTCGATTGAGGCAGGAACTTTTGATTCGAGAGGAGAATTGGATTTCACGCATCTCAAGGAACTGAAGAGAGATTGCGAGAATAACAAGACTACACACAGAGAAAGAATTAAGTAACCCAGGCAACGATCACGGCGTTTCAAACTGTCACGAGGTTACCATTCAGACTGGTAACTGCAAAAGAAAATTCTTAACGGAGGAAAACATCTAACCTTCCCAAAATTAAATCGAACTGAGTCTTTACGTCAAGGCATAGCTTCTGCATAGCATCTAGTAGCTTTTGCGAAGTGTAGGGTGGCAAGTTATTCCAGCGCTTAGATTCTTATTTCGAGTTCATGTCCAAAAGACTGAAGAACATGCAGCACGTCGCGTTTATACACCAAAGCAAACCAACACCAAAAACACAACTGAAAATGAAAAGCTGAGGTAGGAAAGAGTATGCATAAAATGCAGGATGTTTCAGATCATAAGCCAGGATTGGACAATAAGATCGACCCACAACCTGCTCAAAGACATCATCAAATCTTAAAATTATGTTAGACGAACCAAACAAAATATGATTTAATTCCAGTCTAGAAGCATCCACCCTGTTGCCATGTTGCTTTCCCGTAAGGGTGTGGCTACTGGGTATTATTCACTATACAAACCTGTACTTATCATCTTCTATACGTATCAAGTCACGTTTATACATATCACTTGTGATGATAACTCATTGTAGTAAGGAACATCTCAGATCTATTCTTTGGCGCAGGTTCCAGCAGGGCAGTCACAGTTGGCACCGCACTTGCCATTCTCGTTTGCGCATGTTCCTGCAACCATGTCATCATAGTAACCATGACTACAAAGGAATCTCAACGTCGTTTACCACAGTCCACACATCTTCAACGTGAACAAAAGAGTATTTCACCAACAGCAAGTGTCCAATTCTTTCCCAGTGTTACCTGCTGGGCAATCACAGTTGGCTCCGCACTTGCCATTCTCCTTAGCGCACGTTCCCGCTGGGCAATCGCAGTTAGCACCGCACTTTCCGTTGTCCTTTGCCATTGTTGCAAGCTGCTGTCAAGCGATCAAATCTGCTCAATCAAATGAGTACCAATTGTCAGTATACTCTGACTTCCAAATCCTGTCGATCGCCACCAACTAATGCTGTGATCACATCAAAGTTCATAACGTTGATACTGTTAAGCAGTCGAGGCTGAAGCTAAGATCTCTGCTCTCCTATTAATTTGGTCCTGCAAGTTTAGCAAGAAACTCACTATGGCTTGAGGGATATAATCCTTCAACGTCCAAGGGTCTAATACCCAAGTTTGGCTAGATGGTAGTGAGAGGACAATCTGATCAATTGATACATACATCATACGAGCAAAATTCCCGTGACATGTATGACTGATTCATTGTATGGGTTTGAACGAGCTAATAAAACATGGTATTATAGAACTCTTATTAAAGAATAGAAGAATCTAGCGGGCTAGCTCTTCAAGCAAACAACCGAGGCGCTGCATACAAGAGGAATGTCCTGCTACGGCCTCCCAGGGTGGTGACCATGCATGACACACAGGACGTCAAAACCATGTACAAATGCAGGACGTATATGAGAGGAAATGAGAGAAGACAACTTGCTAATGAGTAGGAAGACGTCGCTGATTTCACCACTGGAGTGCACTTGCTACGGAATGATGCAACAGAGCCCATCCTCTCAGCACTTTATACCCAACTCCTCCATCTCCATTTTCCTCCTTATCTGACTCGATCACTGTCTCGTCCCTTTACCTTCCTATTCACGCAACACTGTTCCACACTTCCACTCATGACTCCTCCACAAGAGATATATTATTCTGCAAAAGTTGGACCAAAGTTAGAGCATTAAACACAGGCAAGCTATTCACACCACGGCGTCCATCCGTTGCCATTTGTGGTAACTTGACGACGGGGTCATTGTCTGAATTTAGGATTCATCGTTGAAGGATTAGAGGACACATGCAGACTTTCCCACGATGGACATAGTGAAAGAGATGCAACACCACTCTCCTTCAAACATCTTGCACCATTCCGCAGGAAAAGATCCTCTGGGAGGGCCACCCCAACCCTGGAATATAAAATTCATTCCACTGAATTCAGGAAACCGCTCCACGTTGCCTATAAACACCTTGCTTGTAAACCGAGACCATCCAAATATCCCTATTCCAGAATTCATTTAATCTTGTATTTAGTAGACTAGCAACCTGACCACCAGTCTTTCATCGAAAAGTGTGCAGCTCTCATCCATGTAGGCATGGCGTGTGCCGCAGCCCAGTGCCGAAACTACAATCACTTTGATCTGAATCCAGATAAACACGCCAACCTTTGACATCATGCGACCACTGCATCATTTTGCAACATGCTAAAATCTACACAAGTAGATTCACACATGTAGTGAATGTCGTTTTGGACCTCTCAAAGGTCACAGTACAAAGTAAATTTACAAGTGTTTCTCAGGCTTTGGGTTGCAACAGTGAGGGACTGTGTGAGGAAAAAGCACGACAAAGCAGAGTTGAGATGGACAGGCAGAAACCCATCGCCTTGCTCATGAGTCCATCATAGTGTGATTTTTATTTATTATTTATTTGACTTATTTATGAAAGTACTATTATTATTGTTGTTAGGAATGTTAGGTGTACGGCTATGTTGGTTGTTTATCTACTTGGAAATTGCATGAGAGAGGTTTGGATGGTCAATTTTTTGGATTTTACATCACATTATATCAACTATGGGCTTCAAGGGTCAGAGCCCAACTCCCCACTTATTGTCCTCTTTGGTAAGCAAGGGGCTAAGGGATGAATTTTCTCTACAATAATTCCTCTTTGATTTTACTTCTCTACCATGTGTTGCACAAGTGCTCTTTACTAAAACATCTCATTGTATATGTGTCAAATTGACATTAACTTGATCTAGCATTAAATAATTATGAATGTCATAAATTCTGCAACCTTCATTTCATCAACTTATACCAAACTCTTCTAAAATCCAACTCTTTGTTTGGACTAACACCTTGTGTAGAAGTTTCTTTTAACAATTCTTTTTTTAAGACTATTAATAAATGAGCACACATTAGAAATTTTTGGACTCACTTATGGTATTTATGTAAGTAGATATTAATTTTAAGATATTATATTTTTCTAAATATAGGGATTTATTTTTAAAAGCTAATTTCTTTGGCATAAATAATAATTTTTTAATGGAAATGGTAAATAGTAAATCTCTAATAGAATAAATTATGTTAAATAGAAATTTTTAATATATTCATCTCAACTAATTAGTGGACAATAAAAATATAGTTGCTTTCATAAGTCCTAATTTAGATTACTTAGAGAGATAATTATCTAATTATTAAAAAACTGAAGAATAATTAAAGCATGATTAAAAAACTTTAAAATGACATTTTATTTAAATTTAGGATGTTTTTTTTTGTAAAGAAAAATTATACTTGATTTTTTTTAATGGTATTTGAAAAAATTAATAAAACAACGGAATTAACTTCTATGATTTATTTAATTTTAAAATTATAGATCTAATTTCATAAAATATAGATTATTTTGTAAAGATATTTATATTATTTATATTAATATTTGTAAAACAAATTTAGTAAAAGTAAAAATAAATTACGTAGACATTATTTTCTTCAATAAACATTATTTTTTTTATTTATTTTATTTTATATAATTGGATTTAGGATTACATAAGAGGCTAGATAAAAAGATTTAATGTATTTTTGTTTCTAAAATCTATAATGCAAGCATTCTACAATATATGTACTTAGTATATAATTCTTTTAGTATATAAGAAGCTTCATTATGGCCTTTGTGGTAGCTAATATATATATAATTGCAAGATTAAGATTATTCTTAATTTTATTAATACCATTTTAAAACTATAGTCTTGTTTCAAGATTGTAAAGACTTTTGTGCTTGACAATTGTTATTATAATCCGTCATTATTTTATTAATGAAAATATATTTATATTGAAAATAAATAAATAAAGATTATATATAAAATAGAATGCTATTGAAAATTATGTTAATTAGGAAAATTTTAAATTTATTTATCTACATATGTAAAATCCAAAAAATTAAATATTATATATATATATATATATATATATATATATATATGTAAATAAATTTTAATATAATAAAATTTTATATTTAAATTATATTTTTTTTATTAATTGGATACCTTCATTATAACATGATATTTAATAAATTATGACTTTTAAAATATTGTGACACTACTAAATGGTATGTACAATCTAATACAATGTTTTTACACAATACTTGTAGTTAAAAATGCTTATGTTACTTTTGTAAATAGAAGTAAGTAGAATCATGTTGAAACTCATTAGATATATAACATCTTCATCAAAAGATATAAGAGAAGTTTCTTAGATATGGCTTACATCATTAGATTCTTCTAAATGTGCCAAAAGACTATTGGAACTTATTCTACAAATTTATTACTTTTAAGAATATACATTATAAATAATTTACGATTTTATTGTTTAAATTACAATTTTTGTGGTCTTTGAAATATTTAGTGCAAGTTTGTCAAGATTCTAAAAATTCTATAATTTACATCTTTATAATATTAGACTTGTGTGCTTTTATTTGTATTTTTGATAGTAAAAATTGCTAAATATTATAAGATGTTGATTATATAAATTATTAAACCTATTTATATAGAAATCATAGATTCTTTTTTATATTTTTTTATAGAAATTCTACCTATAAAATATTAATATATTTTTTATTAAATAAAAATCTAATAGTATTCAATATTACAAAATATCTAATCAATCTTCTTTTTTTACTATTACCATGACTACGAAAATATAATTTATATATAAAATAGATATCTTATTGTCTTAAATATTTTAACTTCTAAAAAAAATTAAAATAAGATATATATTAAATATAAAAATAAAAATAAACTTATATTTTTTAGAGCAAAAATATTTGTACAAATTGAAAAATGAGACTTATTTGTCATTTATTCAACACCATGTCTTCATTAAAGTGGAGGTTTTAGTAGAATTTTAAAGCAACATAAAGAATATTATGATATATTTGAAAAGAAGAGTTTTGATATACTACCAAAATATCAACCTTATCATTACTCAATTGACCTTCAAGAAGAAAGTTTGATACAATTATATATATATATATATATATATATATATATATATTTATATATAATTATTAAATTAGTAATTTAACCATCAAATTTTTTTATTCTTTATTTTTGATATAAGATCTTTTTTCTGAATTAAGTGAAGCTAAAATCTATAATAGAATAAATCTATAAATATTATATAAGCTATAAATATTATAAATCTATATTATAAAAATTTAGAAATATAAGACTAAATACCATTTTTTTAAACAAATGTGTTTATTTTATACAAATTAAATAGAATTTTTAGAATATATCATTGTAAATAAAAATTAAAAAATAATTTTTAGAAAATATAAATTATTACAAAGCTAGGAAAGTTCAAATATTATTTATGATTAATAATGATTTTAAAATTTTAATTTAAAATAAAATCTAGAATTCGTTTTCAATTATTACTTAATTGTATAATTTACTTCCAAATATAGATTGGAGTAGACTAAATATGTAAAAAGAAAATTTAAGGTTAATTTTTTTTTCACATCATTTCTTATTTTATGCCATTTTAGTTTGTTTTAGACATTTTTTTTAATTAAAGCAGATCCATTTATAAAAATTAAGACTTAATTTGGATTATATGTATATGATTATTATTATTATTAAATTTTGAATTTTAATAAATCAAAAAAATAAATATTCTATATTAAAGTAATAAAAATTATACATCCAAGTTGAATAAATTAGGAGTCATAATAAGATAACAGTTAATTTGTCTTAAATTATATATATATATATATATATATATATATATATTTATATTGATCTAAAAATATATAGATAAATTTCAATTCAAATGATGAATTATATAAATAATAATTATATTTTATTTTTATATAAATATTTTATTTTGAAATTAAAATATTATTAATATCTTAAATTATAAAAAATACTATTAATATATAAATATAGTAATAATATTTTAGAAATAATTATATATATAGGTATGGATTAAAAATATTATTTTTTTGATATTAATTTAATAATTATTATATTTGGTATAAAATTTAGTTATTCATATTTTATTTTGAGATAAAAATTATTTTTCTAAAAGCCATAATATCATAATACTATAAAAGTAGATCAAAAGTTAAGATAAATAATATATTTTTTCATTCGACATACATTGTTTGTAGATTTTATTTGCAATCGTAAGTAGATGATTATAAAATTAAAAAAAATATTTTTATCAAAAAAGGCTATAAAAATAATTTAATATTATTTTGTTTTATACTGAAAATTATATATAAATATATGTATATATAATTATATTTAAAAACTTAAATATAATAAAAATTAAAATTTGATTTAATTTGATTTCTTTATTTTATTTAAATTCCTAATGTCTTCTTTATGGTTTTTTTAAAGATCCAAATAAAAAAATAATATTTAAATTAAAAAATATTAAAAAATATTCATGAATAATTCCTAATTAACTAATTAATTATCTTGATAAACACAATTACTTACTTATTATCACATTATCTACAAACATGACATTTTTTTAATGTATTCTTATAGTAGAATAGAACTTAGTAATTTACATGTTAAATTAATAATATTAGTAAGTTAAA